CATGGCAGAAAGACCCAGCGATCTGCTCCCATGGAGACTGCAGCCAGAAAACCCGACGGGGCAGCTGCACTCTGTCACACAGGGTCACTATGAATCAAAATCAAGTCTCTGGCACTGAATAAGGAAGACCGAAGAAGAGTTGATGCCTTTGAATTGTGGTGTTGATACCAAGCACTGTGGTAGAAAAAATCATTTTTAGCACCATGCTGTCCATTTCCTCCCTTAAATACCTTATGAAACACCTAGTGAATTGGAATGAGCTGGTACTAAAGTAAAAACAAAACACTACCTTCCCATTGCCATATAAATATATATTTATATTCTCCATTTCCTATATATATATATATATATATATATATAGCTTTTATAGCCTTATAAATGCTATAAATCAACTGAATGTAAACATAAAATACTTCTAGGCTGACCATCTGATATTTCATTTGGTTCAATGCCCTCCCCACCATGGGAAAGTCATTCATTTTCAAAGCCAGCATCAGATTTAGGTGAGAATAATACTGCTGTGTTATTATAAGTCATCTCATCCACTGTTGTTATTGTTGTTAGGTGCCATCAAGTCAGCTCCAACTTGTAGCGACCCTACACAGAACAAAACAAAACACTGCCCAGCCATGTGCCATCCCCACAGTCCTGGCTGTGCTTGAGCCCATCATCACAGCCAGCGTCAATCCATCTCATGGAGGGTCTTCCACTTCTCCAGTGACTCTCTACTTCACCAAGCGTCGTATCATTGTCCAGGGACTGGTCCCTTCTCATAACATGACCAAGACATGTGAGATGAAGTCTGGCCACTCTCCTTCCTAGAAGCATTCTGGCTGCACTTCTTCCAGGACAGATGTGTTCGCTCTTCTGGCAATCCACGGTATTTTCAGTATTCTCTATCAACACCACAATTCAAAGGCATCAACTCTTCTTCGGTCTTCCTTATTCAGTATCCAGCTTTCACAATGCATATGAGGAGATTGAAAATACCATGGCTCAGGTCAGGTGTACCTTAGCCTTCAAAGTGACATTTTTACTTCTTAACACTGTAAAGAAGTCTTTTGAAACCATTTTGCCCAGTACAATATGACATCTGATTTCCTGACTGCTGCTTCATGGGTGTTAACTACGAATACAAGTAAAATGAAATCCGCGACAACTTCATTTTTTTCTCCATTTAGCATGATGTTACTTATTGGTCCAGCTGCAAGGATTTTCATTTTATATTGAGGCATAATCCATACTGAAGGCTATAGTCTTTGATCTTCATCAGTAAGTACTTCAACTCATCTCCACTTTCAGCAAGCAAGGTTATGTCATCAGCATATCACTGGTTATTAATAATTCTTCCTCCAATCCTGATGTTGCATTCTTCTTCATATAGTCCAGCTTCTTGGATTATTTGCTCAACATACAGGACCAATAAGTATAGTAAAAGGATATAATCCTGACCTACACCCTTTCTGATTTTAAACCATGCAGTATCCTCTTGCTCTGTTCAAATAACAGCCTCTCAGTCTATGTATAGGTCCCTCATGAGTACAATTAAATGTTCTGGAATTCTCATGTTTTGCAATGCTATCCATAATTGGTTATGATCCACACGATAGAATGTCTTTGCACATTCAATAAAATATAAGTAGACATTTTTCTGGTATTCATTGCTTTCAGCTAAGATCCATCTGACATCAGCAATGATATCCCTTGTTCCACACCCTCTTCTGAATCTAGCTTGCATTTCTGGACATTCCCTATCAATAGACTGCTGCAACCATTTTTGAATTATCTTCAGCAAGATTTTACTTGCAGCTAACTTTTCTACTTTAAACTTAAAGGTTGCATTTGTTAAGAAGTAAGTGCATACCAGATATGCATAAAATTATATGACCTAGATTTAATGTTCAAAGGAAAATCTGTAAGGTTATATATATCTTTGGGATAAAAAAATGAAAACAAAACCAGGATAAGATTGAGTCGTTTTCATTGTTTTGCAGTTTTCTGCAGTGTATTTCTAAGCTTCTACCTTCTCATATTATCTTCCCTTTAGAAAGGTCTGAAGAAGGCTAACATGGAAACCAAAGAGATGCTATATAAAAGCTGGAAAATCTGAAGAACACGGAACACAAATGTGAGGCAGTGTTTCAGGTCTTGATGAGCTACAGAAAAGCTGACATAAGTTTTAATATTAGCTGAGGGAGATCTCTTAGTCAAAAAGGAAATAGGAAATAATGCAAACAGGGAAAAAATGCAAAAGGGGGTCTGCCAGTATTAAAGCACAGCCTTTAGGAAATAAAGAAACGATTCTGCTGCACAAGAAAGAAAGTCAGTTTAAAGATGTGTAGGTATTTGGTACATGTCTTTACAGAACATATACTAAAATTCCACGTGTAAGCTCAAAGGTATTAAAAGTTGAAGGAAAAAAAATACAAGATTATTTGATGACTCATAAACATGATGAGGATAAATCACTTAGTTCAACACTATTTGGTTTTGTTCTTATCCTAACTGTACCGTCCTAACTGCACTAAATGCCTTCTAGAACAATCAAGGGCATAAATAAATAAATTCATCAATAAATAAAGAGAAAGATAGCTTCTTCCTGCTAAACGCCATCACTGAAGACAATAGAAAAGTCACATTTTAAATTATGAATAAGCAGACTGTGCCAGATAGATTTTCGATAATCTAATTTTACTTTTAGTGGCCTGAGGTTTCTCTGGAACAGACTGCAAGCTCTAGGCTGTGGAAAAATTACTTGGGGTATTTGTTAAAATACAGATTTCTCGATTCCCTAGCCAGGGATTCTCATTTAGAAGGTCTAAGATCCCAAGAATCTGCATTTGAAAGGAAGTCAATGGTGATTATAAATGCATATGGAGACCATAGGGTATCATAGTGCCTAAAGCACTTGACTGCTAACCAGAAGGCTGGTGGTTCAAACCCACTAGCCACTCCTCAGAAGGAAGACTGGGCAATCTACTTCCATAGTGATACCACCTCAGAAAACCTGGGAGGGGTCAATATGAGTCAGACCCGACTTGACGGCAGTGCGCTGCATTGCTGCTGCAGCAAATTAAAAACAAGATATTGAGAGCTCCAGTAATGCACAGCAAGATCAACAGCACAATAAAATCTGAGTGATGGAGACCTGAAGTTGAGTAAGACGCAATAGGGGTTGTTTCTGAAAGGAACATTTACAAACATGTCAGTAAGCCAACAATCTGGTACATCATTGGAGTCTAAGTGAGCTTGCAGTAAAGGGCAAAGAACTGGTTAGTTTACATCCACTATTGACCTCATAAATCACAGGCCTTCATGTCTGAGGCCTAGGCAAAGACAGGTTGAATGAGGCAATGCTCAGATTCTGACCCACCTCTCTGTCCTCCTCCTGGACAAAATGATCAAGGGAGAAGAGGTGCCATTAGTGCTGAAAGTCAGTCTTCTCGTCTACTCTGATTAATCCAGACCCAGCAAAAGAAGGGTATATAAATTGGTGGGTGTTATGCTGAGGAATGGTCTCATAGTGACTACTGCATTTATTCAGACATCGGGAGATTCCCAAATTTTGACTGCATCGCAAGAAATCTTTTTACACATAATCAACTGGGAAAGTCAGCCAGCCGTCCAATACAACTACGTTAGCCAAAACTGAGGACTTGTTCATATCTATTATGTCTCCTGGGAGCTCTGGTGGCATAGTGCCTAAGGCACTTGACTGCTAACCAGAAGAATGCTAACCAGAAGACTGGTGTTTCAAACCCATCAGCCACTCCTTGGAAGGAAGGTTGGGCAACCTACTTCTGTAGCGATACCGCCTCAGAAACCCAAGGAGTGGTTGCTGTGAGTCGGAGATGACTCGATGGCACATAACAACAACATTGTGTCTCATGGATTTTCACATGAATACATTTGAGTAATGTTTTCTACTTTCTAAAACCATTTTCATGGTAGAGTCAGAGGCAGAGAGGAAAATTCTTACCTATTAGTTAATAAGAGGAAAATACTTCTTGTTTAGAAATGAAGACTATTTATTTTGTTGCTATATACCCTAACTTTTAGACTACTTATTTATAAGAACGAAGCACCTGAAGATACCATTGGCAGGTTTTTGTAACATGCCTTACGTTTTATCATTGAAGTCCAGTCTTTTTACTTTGTTCACAATATACATTTCTTACAGACCTACTTTACATCAGGTATGGTACCTCCAGTCACGTGAGAATGAATAAAGTCTATTTCTGTCCTCAAGGACTTGCAGTATCTTCAGGGGGAGTAAGAGACACTGCAACACTGTGTGGCAAGTGTCATTCTGGAGAGGTGGGCACAGCAGTGGGAGGTACAGTACTAGGGGATACCTCAGCGCCTAGGGGCTGACGGATGCTTCACAGAGACAGTGGCAATGGAGCTGGATATAAAATGTGAACAGGATTTCACCACATATGAAAAGAAAGAGAAAGACCTTCCCAACAAAGGGAGCATGAGAAACCATACGGGATATAAAAGGAAAGCAGTCTTTAGGGAACAAACAGTGTCTTGTGGGGCTGAGACACAGCAGAGAGAGATACAGAAGATGACACGGAGATCATGAGTTGAAGCCAGAAGAGAAAGGACTTAATCAGCCTTGGTAAAGGAGTTTGAATTGCATCCATAGGAAGGGCATTATGAAGTCCTGCAGGCTTTGAAGGAAATGTTACAGGATCCAATCTGTATTTCAGAAAGACAAGCATGGTGACAGACAAGGAACAGAGAGACGCGGTGAGGAGAGCAACAGAAGTCATTCAAGAGGCTGTTCATGTACCTGACAGGATGGCTCTGTGCTCTGAGATGTGCATAAACAGTTTTTCCATATGTTCTCTAGCTATACGTGAGTTTCCCACTTAAATTATATATCCATTCTGATACTTACTTTTCCTACCCAAAATATATCATCGGTGGCTCATAAAATCACACTGCACATGACTGTAAACATTTAGGTAAATACTTAAAAGACAATCTCTTACCTGAACAAAGCTGTTCCACTTTTGTGTAGTTTAAAGATACTATGTCATTAACCCATGCAATGATGTCATGTCTGCTCATAGTCTCTTGGGTTATCGAGGTAGAATACACATTGACCGCCATTCCCCAGCTAGGGAAAAAAAAAAAAAAAAAAAACACAAAGAGGTTTATTTACCTACAAGGAAAAAATTAACTCCAAAACATAAAAGACACCTACTGAAGGCCAGGATCCCTGGCAGAGCTCTCGGGGATGTATAATGCTGCTTTGGTCAAGTGGTTTGGCTTCTCTTTCTCTATATATATCCTACATATTTGTCATAACAGGACTGAATTTCATATACTTTTTATGTAGGACCATTTGACCCTCTCCTTCAGCTAGACCCAAACGTTCTGCAGGCTCTGGTATTTCCAATTTATAATACATTGTAGAATGTCTTTTTTTTTTTTTTTTGGTTTTGAATTGCATGTATTAATTCTTTTATTTTTGACATCTTAACACTTTATTATTATTTTAATTGTGATTTGGGTGAAAGTTTATAGAGCAATTCATTTTCCATACAACAGTTCATACACATTTTGTTTCATGACACTGACTGCAGTCCCCATAATGTAGTAATAGCTCTCTTCCCTCAGCAGCCACAATGAACTAATTTCCTTAGTTCAAAGCTGCCCATCTCACTCAGACTAAAACTCAAAGTTCTCACCAGTTTGATAAGGTCCTACATATATTTTATTCCTTGGCATCTCCTACTGTCCTTTCCCTACCCTCCACTCCACTATCACTGGCCTGTGCTGGCTACTTAATTGAGTACTTAAGGTCACACCCACTTCAAGCCTTAGCACTCACCACTGCTGCTTCAGGAAAGGACATTTCCCCTTATAGAAGTTTTATCAAATATTCTGGATATTAAACCCTTCCTTGATACATGGTTCCCCAAAATTTTATCCTATTCTGTGGACTTCACTCTGTTAATAAAATCCTTTGATGCACAAGAGTTTTTAATTTTGACTGAAGCTCCCTCACTTCCTTCAGGTTCCATTCAATATAACTTCACCAGCAAGGCCCCTTCATCATTCACCATCCCTTTATCCTTTGCCTTTTCAAAGACATAGGATGTAAACGCCACTAAAGCAGAGTTTATTATCTGTTATATCCCTGGTATCCTGCATGGTACCAGACATAGTACCATACAAATGTTAAGCTCTCAACATTGTTATTCAATGTTGCACTAGAGGTCCTAATCAGGGCAATTAGGAAAGATATAAAAGACATATATTTTGCGAAGGAAGAAGTAAATGTATGCCTATTCTCAGATGACATATCATATATATAGAAAATCACAAAGAATCCACAAGAAAGCTACTAGAGAGAACACATGAATTCAGTAAAGTGGTAGGATACAAAGTCAACACACAAAAATCAGTCAGGTTTCCTTATATCAGCATTGAGTACTCTGAAAAGGAAATAATTCCATTTCCATTAGTATCTAAAAGAATAAAACACCTAGGAATAAATTTAGATGAAAGATTTATACACTGAAAACTGTAACATATTTATAAAAGAAATTAAAGAAGACCTAAATGAATGGAAGGGCAGTCCATACTCACGGATTGAAAAACAATATTGTTGAGATGTCAATACTACCTGCAGTGTAGTAAATTACTTAGTGTGGCTTTTCTACCCATAAGTCTTTGTAAACTCCAAGGTAGGATTTGCTATGAGCAACTGAGGAGATCCTGATTGCTAAAGTTGTCCACCTGGAGTATTTCTGTTGGGAGTGGCACAAGACAATGTTCTGGGAGGTTCCCACTCTCTCTCAGGTGCTTAGAGTTCTGATGCTATGATTGGCTAGTTTGGCCACTCTGCCAGGCTCAAAAGGAGGCCTCCTAGAGGCAGAACTCTCTCTGACTGCTGGTTGAGGAAGACATGTTGCTGAAAGAGACACGGGCTCCTGAAAGAGACATGTGCTGCTGGGAAAGAGATGCAACAGACACGCATTGCTAAGTAAGACACTGAGGGACATGCACTGCTGGGGGAAAGACTGTGAGAGACTTGGCTGAGAGACAGTGGGCTGGGAGAGAGACTGAGCATTTTTCCTGAACCTGAATTGTAGCCTGTGGTGCTTACCTAATAAACCCCATAATCTGTGAGCTCTGTGTGGCCACTGCAGTGAATTATTGAACCCAGCAGAGAGGTGGTGAGTGCTTTGGGAGGAATGGTTGGAGGAAGGGCTGGAAGGAGGCAGCATGTCTCGCCTCACAGGAATAGTCCTTGGGCTATTGATGGTGATTCTGTCTTCCTCTTGTGAGATTAGAGGAGGTCAGAACATGTGGCCTCCTTGTCCTTTTTGCACTACCCAAAGCTATATATAGATTCAATGCAATCCCTATCAAAATTCCAACAGCCTTCTTTGAGAAATGGAAAAGCCAATCTTCAAATTTATATGTTAACTACCAATAAAACCAAGCCCACTGCAATAGAGTTGATTCTGACTCACAGCAACCCTGTCAGGGCAGACCAGAGCTGCTCCATATGGCTTCCAAGGATGTAATCTTTACAGAAGCAGATTGCCTCATCTTTCTCCCATGGAGCAGCTGGTGGGTTTGAACCACCAAACTTCTGGTTAGCAGATGAATGTTTTAATCACCATGCCACGAGAGCTCGTTATGTAACTATACGAGGCCCTAAATAGCCAAAGCAATCTTGAAAAAGAACAAAGCAGGAAGATTCCAATCTCCCAATTTCAAAACATACTATAAAGCTACAGCAATCAAAACAGCCTGGCACTATATAATAATAGACTGGCAGATCAATGGTATAGAATTAGTCTAGAAATAAACCCATATATGCATGGTTAATTGATTTTTTGACCATGGTGCTAAGTCCATCCAATAGGGGAACAAAAGTGTAATCAAAAAATGATGGTGGGTGCGGTGTAGTAAATTACTTGGTATGGGTTTCCTAGCCATAAGTCTTTGTGAACTCCATGGTGGAATTTGCCATGAGCAAAGAATCCACAAGTTATCCACCTGGGGTACTTCTGTTGAGAGTGGCACAAAGCAACGTTCCGAGAGGTTCACTCTCTCTCAGGTGTTCAGAATTCTTATGTTATGATTGATTAGTTTGTCCACTCTGCCAGGCTCAAAAGGAGCCCTACTAGAGGCAGAAGGAGTCTCTCTAACTGCTGGCAAAGAAAGACGTGCTGCTGCTGAGAGAAATGTGCTCCGTAGAGACACGTGCTGATGAAAAAGAGACACTGAGAGACATGCACTGCTGAGAAAGAGACACCAAGAGACACTCATTGCTGAGAGAGAGACATGCACTGCTGAGAGAGAGACTGAGTGGCACTGCTGGCTGAGAGATGGTGGGCTGAGAGAGACTGAGTGCATTTCTGAACTTGAATTGTAGCCTGATGCTTCCCTAATAA